AAGGTAGGGAAAGGGATTCTTCCCTCTGACTTTTTTGCTTTCCTTCAATCTGCGATGTAAAGGGAAAAGATGCAGCGGACAGGTTTGAAAATACAGGCAGGTGATCTTTTTTCCTTATTGTCATCATTGTCTCATTTTCTCAGTGGGAAACGTCTCATTTTCTCAGCGGGAAACGTAAAGTCCAAAAAGATAAACGAAAGAAAGTAGGGAAGAGTGGGAAGGTTCCTTTTTGTGGTGAGAAGGTAGTCGGAAAGCAACAGGAGACTCCTCTTTCATTCTGTTTACCCCTACCTCTTATAGTCTTTTCGGAAGGAAGAGGGAAGAACATACGCGGATAGGAAGGCAGCCTTTCTTTGATGGGGAAAGGAAAGGGATGCGCTGCCCCCTCAATTTTCATGTTGATGGGAATGTAAGCAACGGGAGAGAAGAAAGGAAGAGAGAATAGCGAGGAAAGAGGCAAGGAAACACAGGAGATTAGGAGTCAGGTTCCGGTGATTGATGTTCGTCTCTTGTCTTCTTTTTGAGAAGGTCGCTTTTGGTTGGAGGAAGAAGTCCGCCTTCCATTTTGAAGAATCTGCAAAGATAGGAATTGAAGAAATCACAAGAGACACGGATAGAGGACATTATAGACATGATTCTTTCTTATTCATTCATCTTCTTTCTTCTTTCCCTATATGAACACAGAACAAAGACAAGGAGAGAGAGCCTCCTGCAATTGGGAATTTCCCCAGAAGAGACAAAGTGAAAGGGATGTCCCCCGCACCTTTCACACTTTTGAGAAGAATGTAAGCAACAGAAGAGAAGTGAAAGGAACTCATAATAGTGAGCAGGGAGGCGAGGAAAGACTGGAGGCAGACCTTCTTTCCGGGTGAGCAGGACGAAACAAGAGAATGTAAAGATGTAAGTCGGGAGGGAGGCTGGTAGCCGTTCCTTTCTTTTCCGAACCAAAGACAAAGAGGAAGGAATGCAGGATAGCGCGTAGGATCGCGTAGGAGAGTACGGTGTGTTTTTGTCATTTTTTGGAGATGATACCGCGGTTTCTGGGTACTCTTTTCTCCTGCATCTGAAGGCATTCTCACGTACCGTTTTTTATTTGATTTTATACTACACGGGCCCCCAAATTGGTCAATTTTTGCGATTTTTTACTATGTTGTAGGATTCTTTGAGCAAATTTTCAGTTTTTACTGATTCTAAGCTAAAAAAGTACATTTAAAATTATTAAAATTATTAAAATTATTAAAATTATTAAAATTATTAAAATTATTAAAATTATTAAAATTATTAATTTCTGCCCTGGGAGGCTCCCGGAAAATTAAAATTATTAAAATTATTAAAATTATTAAAATTATTAAAATTAGTAAAATTATTAAAATTATTAAAATTATTAATTTCTGCCCTGAGAGGCTCCCGGAAAATTAACATTATTAAAATTATTAAAAGTATGGAAATTATTAAAATTATTTCTGCCCTGAGAGGCTCCCGGAAAATTATTAAAATTATTAAAATTATTAAAATTATTAAAATTATTAAAAATATTAAAATTATTAAAATTATTAAAATTATTAATTTCTGCCCTGAGAGGCTCCCCGAAAATTAAAATTATTAAAATTATTAAAATTATTAAAATTATTAAAATTATTAAAATTATTAAAATTATTAAAATTATTAAAATTATTAAAATTATTATTTTCTGCCCTGAGAGGCTCCCTGAAAATTAAAATTAGAAAAAATATTAAAATTATTAAAATTATTAATTTCTGCCCTGACAGGCTCCCGGAAAATTAAAATTATTAAAATTATTAAAATTATTAAAATTATTAAAATTATTAAAATTATTAATTTCTGCCCTGAGAGGCTCCCGGAAAATTAAAATTATTAAAATTATTAAAAATTATTAAAATTCTTAAAAATTATTAAAATTATTAAAATTATTAATTTCTGCCCTGAGAGGCTCCCCGAAAATTAAAATTATTAAAATTATTAAAATTATTAAAATTATTAATTTCTGCCCTGAGAGGCTCCCCGAAAATTGAAATTATTAAAATTATTAAAATTATTAAAATTATTAAAATTATTAAAATTATTAAAAGTATTAAAATTATTATTTTCTGCCCTGAGAGGCTCCCGGAAAATTAAAATCATTAAAATTATTAAAATTATTAAAAATTATTAAAATTGTTACAATTATTGAAATTATGAAACCATTAATAGTTAAAATTTTAATAATTTTAATAATTTCAACAATTTGAATAATTTTAATAATTTTAATTTTCCGGGGGTCTCTCAGGGCAGAAATTAATAATTTTAATAATTTTAATAATTTTAATAATTTTAATAATTTTAATTTTCCGGGAGCCTCCCAGGGCAGAAATTAATATTTTTAATAATTTTAATAATTTTAATAATTTTAATAATTTTAATTATTTTAATAATTTTAATTTTCCGGGAGCCTCTCAGGGCAGAAATTAATAATTTTAATAATTTTAATAATTTTAATAATTTTAATAATTTTAATAATTTTAATCATTTTAATTTTCCGGGAGCCTCCCAGGGCAGAAATTAATATTTTTAATCATCTTAATAATTTTAATAATTCTAATAATTTTAATAATTTTAATAATTTTAATTTTCCGGGAGCCTCTCAGGGCAGAAATTAATATTTTTAATAATTTTAATAATTTTAATAATTTTAATAATTTTAATAATTTTAATAATTTTAATAATTTTAATAATTTTAATACTTTTAATAATTTTAATTTTCCGGGAGCCTCTCAGGGCAGAAATTAATAATTTTAATAATTTTAATAATTTTAATAATTTTAATAATTTCAATAATTTTAATAATTTTAATTTTCCGGGAGCCTCTCAGGGCAGAAATTAATAATTTTAATAATTTTAATATTGTTAATAATTTTAATTTTCCGGGAGCCTCTCAGGATTATTAAAAATATTAAAATTATTAAAATTATTAAAATTATTAAAATTTTTAAAATTATGAAAATTATTAAAATTATTAATTTCTGCCAACGTCCTTTTGAAATCCGACCGTAGGGTCTATTTAGAAGCCGTGCTCTTCTAGGTTTATTACATTTAGGTATATGGACCTGTATTATAAATCACAAGCCCCAGCTTCTAAATAGACCCGGTTTTGCTCACACACGGGGGGGGGGATGATAGCGTCCAGGACCAGGCTTCCTTGTTTGTGACACTAACCATTCAAGCAACAGCATTGGGCTCCAGCAGCCATTCAAGCAACAGCACTGGGCTCCAGCCTGTTGATTCTGGGTCTCGGGGGGGGGGGGGGGGGGATGATAGCGTCACAGGGATCAAGGCTGGCTTTTGTGACACTAACCATTCAAAAAAGAGCAACAGGGCATTGGCGGCTCGACAGCACCTCGAGCAAGCAGGATTGGGCTTTCGCTGTTGAAACTTGGGTCTCAGCGGGGGGGGGGGGGGAAGATCGCGAGCTTTTAGCCATGAATCTGAGCCGAGAGACATGTGACGACGACCGTTCTGATGAGGACCCCTGAACCAGCTCTTTCCGAATCCACGAATCCGGCTCCTGCCATCCGCAGTTTCCGAATCCGCGTTTTCCAGTTGCCTGAATCAGCTGGTTTCCGAATCCGCGTTTTCCAGTTGCCTGAATCAGCTGGTTTCCGAATCCGCGTTTTCCAGTTGCCTGAATCAGCTGGTTTCCGAATCTCGTTTTCCAGTTTCCTGAATCAGCTGGTTTCCGCATCCGCGTTTTCCAGTTGCCTGAATCAGCTGGTTTGCGAATCCGCGTTTTCCAGTTTCCTGAATCAGCTGGTTTCCGAATCCGCGTTTTCCAGTTTCCTGAATCAGCGGTTTCCAGTTTCCGAATCCGCGTTTTCCAGTTTCCTGAATCAGCTGGTTTCCGAATCCGCGTTTTCCAGTTTCCTGAATCAGCTGGTTTCCGAATCCGCGTTTTCCAGTTTCCTGAATCAGCTGGTTTCCGAATCCGCGTTTTCCAGTTTCCTGAATCAGCTGGTTTCCGAATCCGCGTTTTCCAGTTTCCTGAATCAGCGGTTTCCAGTTTCGGAATCCGCGTTTTCCAGTTTCCTGAATCAGCTGGTTTCCGAATCCGCGTTTTCCAGTTTCCTGAATCAGCTGGTTTCTCGAATCCTGGTTTCCCGAATCCGCGTTTTCAGTTTCCGAATCCGCGTTTTCCAGTTTCCAGAATCAGGGTTTTCCAGTTTCCGAATCCGCGCGTTTCCAGTTTCCGAATCCGCGGCTGACCAAGAGCCCACAGGCTGGTAATCATGTCGAGAGCTGCAGATGGCACAGTTGCTACTGATGTGACCGACGTTGACCAACCATATCATGACGCTCCCGAGAACCTTTCACAGAACTGCAGTGGCATGCCGCGGGCATTTCAGGGCAAACTTGCCATTTTCGTTCACCGGAGCGCGCCGCAGAGCCGGGGTCTGCCATCAAAGCCGGCTTGGCCAATGAGGAGGGTGATTGTGAGGGCAGAAGGGAAAGATATGGAAAGAATGGAACACATGGAAAGAATGGAAAGAATGGAAATAATGGAAAGAATAGAAGGGTAATTTCACCGGTACTCGACTTGTCGACAAGTCGCTAGAGGTCTTGGCAACATGAACATCTAATCCTTTGCACTCAAGCTCCAGCTGTCTGCCCCGTGAGCCAAATGTCCATGTTTAAGCTGTGTACATTATTGTGCATTACATGGCTTGCCAAAATGGTGGCCTTGTAGTGGGCACAACCAGCGCTGTGCTTGCACAAGAGGCACGTGAGTTGGGACGGAATTGCTGATGCTGGTTTGGCTGGAGCCACATCTCCTGCATCTGCTTGCCTGCTGCCGTCTGTGGTTCTTCTTTGGTTTAGGATCTGCACTCGAATTTATCGTCCGGAGATTCGACGGGCGAGCAGGGGAGCTGCAAGGCTGGAATGGCTGGAATGGTATGCAGAAGGATGCAGGTTCAAGGCACGTCCAAGGGGCCTTCGCGAAGGCTGCCATGCCGCCTGGCTCTCCGAGCTTAGATGACTTCGTCTTGATGAAGGCTCGCTTAGAAACCCGGAGCACAGGCAAGCTCTCACGAAGCATGCCACAGCATGCCATACCGTGCCATAGCATGCCCCCAGTCCACACGCCAGGTCATCGGCAAGGGCTCCTATGGCAAGGCAGGGGTTTTAGATTCATTTTAGATGTTGCAATGTAAGGAGATGCAGAGTTGTGCAGAATTGCAGCACGTGCTACTGTCAAATGGTGTAGGCTCTTCGTGCGAACTTCGCGCAGGTGATGCTTGTACGGCACAAAGCCGAAGGAGAGGACCACGTCTACGCAATGAAGATGCTCCGAAAGGCTCGCGTGGCACGACTTTCGGGCTAAGGTTGGGCGTCTGCGAGTTGGATCGAGTTTGCAGGAGAACGTGATAAAGCGCAACCAAGTGGAGCATACGAAGACGGAGAGAAACGTCTTGGAGGCATTTGCTTCTGGCATTCCTGCTCTATCCGCTCGTCTGTCATGTTCACTTCGGCTGACAGGCTGTATCTCACCCCTTCATCGTGACGCTCTATTATGCTTTTCAGACTCCAAAGAAGCTTTGATCTTAGCTCTTTGAACTCAGCCTCGCGCCAGATGGAGCAAACCACGGAAATAGTCGAGACTCCACAATTTGGCCAGCGCAGGCTGTACTTCGTGCTTGAGTACTGCTCCAGCCTCAAAATGCGCTTTTCCTGTGAGTTACCAGTGGCTTTTCATGGAGTTGGCGACCATGGCAACCCATGGCAACCCATGGAGTCGGAGAGCAATGCTGCTTCTGAGGCCCTGGAGGGGAGCTTTTCTTCCACCTGAGCCGGGCAGGTCGTTTCTCAGAAGGCCGCTGCAGGCGTGGAATTGGAAGTTCTCCTGTGTTCTTTTTTCGTGTTGCTCTGGACTTCACGTGGGATGGATGTTTTGGCAACGCATCTGGCTCACAAGGAAACCAGGGTGTTCTGTTTCAAAGGCAAGTTATGTGTGGCTAGCATGTGCTAGACTAAGGCGGTTACTAGTGGTCGAATTCGCAGAGCACGGCCACCGACTATACTCAAGCGAACTTTGTCTCCCCTCGACACACCATACTTTGACACTTGGTGTCATTTTCACCAGTTTTCGCCATGGTCTTCTCTTGCTTTAAGGGCTTCGTCCGTTGGCTTCAGCGAAAATGCGGCCGCCGCTCCTCGAAGGCGCCTTGAGGGACCGGGACAGGGGACCGAGAAAAGAGAGAGAGAGAGAGAGGGAGCGGCCAAGAAAGACAGAAAGAGGGAGCGGCCGCTGTCGTGTTGTGGTATTTTCGCCCGAGACGTGCATACACTTTTCACACCGACTGACTCGGTCCCTTCGGGGACCATCTGCGCAGCAAGCAAGCAAGCAAGCAAGCAAGAGAGCGGCCGGGGTCACCCCTTGGGGGCGCCTCTTCGCTGGGTAGAAGAAGAAGCAGTAGAGAGAGAGAGAGAGAGAGAGAGAGAGAGAGAGAGAGAGAGAGAGAGAGAGAGAGAAAAAGGGAGAGAGAGAGCAGCAAGCAAGCAAGAGAGCAGGGTTCGATGGACGAGGGGCTAGCTGAACAGTGGGGGGAACCAATGCAACTGGTCGATTCGCACACCGACCAGAACTCACCAGGGAAGAGGAGGAGGACCCCCCAGACACCATCCCCTGGCATACGGCGGCACACCACACAAATGGGGGCCCCCATAGGCGATTCCCAGCCAACACTGGACCACATCACTGCACGAGCACCCACGACACGACCAACACTACCACGAACACGACCAAAGAGAACCCACAGAAAAATTGTCTTCTCCAGCCAGTCCGGCTGACAGAGGGCCAAACAAAACCACCTGGCGGACACTACATCGACGTGGTTCACCACTACCAGACATGGACTCCAGAAGGAGAAGAATTCATGAAGGGGCCAGCAGCGATACCGTCCGGCAGTATGAGGGGGGCACAGCGGGGGGAGATCATTCACTGAGGTACTAGGTTCTTACTCCAGCGGAAGGGGGCGTCGATATCTAGGTGGAATGCATTCGAACCCCGAGCCCCGGATTTCACAGCAGGGAGGCTGCAACACGCGGTCAGTCCGAACAACTGACACTTGGACTTCGCGTGCCCCTGGGGGCGGCCTCCCTTCGGGGGGGCTATGCCCAGAGAGAGAGAGAGAGAGAGCAGGGTTCTCCAAGAGATTCGCTTTTTAACTGTGAAGTTTCCCACATGTTTCGCATATGGGTTTCCCATATGCGTTTCCCACATGGGAAAGGTCCCATATGGGCTTCCCACATGCCCAGGTGCCAACGTTCACCTCCAAGGCCAAAAGGGGGCATGACAGTCTCTTGCGGTGCGCAGTGTGCTGCTAGTGCGTGTTCCCGAGTGGTCTCCAGGTTGTGGCAAACAGGCCAGGCCGGTGTCACCAATCCACACCAGACCATGCTAGAAGAAAGGCTGGCCTGTTCTCTGCGCAACGTCCAGGAATGTTGCTGCATGGCCACTGCAGGCGGCTGCAGTCTCAGTTGCAGTGTCGTTCATGGCAAGAGTCGCAAGAGCCTTTGTAGCGCATGCGATTGTTGTCTGCCCAGGTGCAGGGCTTCGACTTCGATCTGGCGAATGAGCAAGAGTTGCGCCCCAGGAGGTCATGGTGGTGGTTCTGGGGCGGTGCCCAGGTCTGCCTCTGACTTTCACTGGGTTCTGTATGGTCGGGCCCATGTTTTGACAGACTCACCATGCCCCATACGTCAGTTGGAAGGAATCGAATCGCTCTAACCGCTCCGAAACGACGGAAGAGACGGCCTTTCAAGACTACGACATTGAAGAGATGAGTGATGAACAGCCCCTCAGCTTAACAAGTACAGTGAAGTACAGACTACTCAGCGGCTCAGCAAGTGCAAGTGCCGTGAGCACCGTGAGCACCGTAAGCACCCTGAGCACCCTGAGCACCGTGAGCTGCCATTGTCAGGTCCAGAAATGACAGTCCGGCGCAACCTCGCACGGTCTTTCATGCCTTGCACCTCTCCTTCGAAGAGATTCGCCCCTCAGCAAATGTTAAAAGGCTTGCAAGTGGCTTAAGCGGAGACTCCAGTGGAGACGTTTGCCTTCTACCCAGGCCGTATTCTGCCGGAGCTCGCCTGGCAGGGCTTCGATGCAGTTCAGATCCCACCAGCTCAGCTGAGCCCTAGAGGCGAGCTGCGCAACATTTTCGCAACGCTGCATAGCATCGTAACGTCGCATACAGTCAATGAATGAGAGCTTCGGTGGTCCCAACGCAGTTAGCGAACTGAGAAGATCAAGACTTATAAGCCTCAGGGGCCTCAGAGGAGGCCCGTGTGTGACAATGCCAGGTGACCTTCGCAAAAAGTGGTATCTGCGGTATCAACCGCTGAGTCATCTGGAGATCGATCCGGCACTGGGCCGACCACCCAGGATGTCCAATAGAGAGACTGGAGTCTGTGCACTGTGTCACATCGTCCTAGGTGGCTGGGAGGGCCTGCAGCGCCTTTGCGAAGATGCCACCAACTTGCGCATCATGGTGCCCCTTGGCTTGCGGAAGAAGTGCCTAGCACTCTCTACAGCATACATGTCGTTCCCAACCTAGCGCCGTCCCGAGCGCGATCCCCAGTGCTGCCAGTGCCGCCCCATACTGTAGCCTCTGAAGATCCTCGAAAGGATTGCAGACTGCGTCTTCAACCACATGGCTGTTGTTGCCTCCTGCCACGAGTGGCGCGAAACCCAACACAACCATGGGAAACTGGAGGAGTTGAAGGGCAGACTCGACCAAACATTCGGGCCGACCTTGGATCGGAATGACTTTCAGTGGCCTTGGATCTGTCTGGAAGGTCACAAATGGGATGACCCCAACTACATGTTCGAAGGTTGGGGCTGCGGTGAGTGGAGTGAGCTGCGCTTCAGTGAGAAGGTTGTTAACCTGCACCTTCATCATCTGCAGCAGCTTCTAGACTGTGGCGTAAGTGGGTTTCGCAGCTTGACGTGAACAGCAGGAGCTTAGTCCGAAGTCCTGTTTTCAAGGGAGTAGTGTAAATTAACAGAGGGATCGGTGAAACGGGCAGCTTCTGATATGTTCTGCCTTGCACAACACATATGACTCAGGCCTCGATGCTGCCAAGCACATGAGGCCGGCTCATGTTGCAAGGTACGTGGACTACATACAGCAACAGGATGGATTTGTCTACACCGAAGTTCTCTCAATGGATCGGCACCTCCATTCGCAGTACGAGAAGCTTGGCAAAGGCTTGCCATCCACAGATTTCCAGCTCGCGTCAACGATACGGAATGTCTGGCGCTGTAGGGATGCCGGAGGAATGGTGTCCCGGTTACTTGCAGCCGAGCACTTGGGGAGCCACTCTGTGCAGTTTGTGCGCAATCACGACACCATGCTAAATGAAGGCCCAGCCATTTGTGGCATCGACTGGTCCAGTGCAGAGGAAGCTTCGCTAGCATGGGCGTTTCTGATAGCCAGAAGCGAGGGCACAGTGTTGTTGCACCAAGACGACACGAGCTGTCCAGTGACTCATGCCGCCCTCGCCTTTCGGGCGGCGCTCTCTCCGTATTCATTCAAATGCGAGGTCATGGCCTGGCCCCCGCCCCGATACGAAACAATGCAAGTTTTGGTCAAGGTTGCTGAATGTCCCATCGGACTTGCTGTTTTCAATGTTTCAACAAAGAGCATTGACTTCAGCACACCTTTTGGCTTGGAGGGCTTCAGTCTGCAAGAAGTGAGGGCGCCAACGCCGCCTTGCGAAGCCTTGCAGGCCAGGCGGCCAAGCATAAAGACTCGTGAAAGCCTCCCCCCAAAACAAGAATCGGTCAAGGCTCCATGAGAGCCTGACCAATCTATAAATTGCAACTTGTGTGTTTGTCCCCAGGCTGGGTGCTCCATGTGGGAGGTGGACCGTCGCATGAAGCCCAAAGACGCGCGTTTCTTCCTCCTGGAATGTCCTGCCTCACCCGTCGTTGCAAACCCGGATCTGCACTACATGACGCACTCGAGCTGCAATTATCTGCAATTCATGAAGTCTTGTGAAAGGAGATTGTGCGTTGTTGTTCTGAGCAGGCTCTTCTATTACTCTGGCTGGCATCTGCCGCATGTTCACTTTCGCATCGATGGCGTGTGGACTGAGAGTCCTGGCTGGCCTCTCCGGAAGTCTGAGAAGCCCAGCGCTCGAGGCCGTCTTTATATGATGTGTATGAGGTATATGATGTGTATGAATATGGTGTATGAAAAATGTGTGTGTGTGTGTGTTTTGTTTTGTTTTGTTTTGTTTTGTTTTGTTTTGTTTTGTTTTGTATGTTTTGTTTGTTTTGTTTGTTTGAGCAGGTACAGAATGGTGCAGAATGGTACGGAATGGTACGGAATGGTACAGAAAGGTACAGAAAGATACTGCATAGCAAGGGTGAACAAATTCTGCCGTCCCTGTGGTGTTTCAGGCTGTCCTGAGTGGATCAGTGTGTTTTGCCTCAAGTGCAAAGGTCGCCTGGCTCAGCTTGCTTCATGTGCTTCGCTTCGCGCCTGCGCGTGTCGCGTGTCTTGTCAGCTTGCCCAAATGCAGACTTTTGTCTTGATGTAAGCAAGGCTCGAAGATTCCGAAGCCGAACAGCCATGGCCGGTGGTGGCGCATTGACATACCAGTAAGCGCCAACAGCTCGATGGAGTTTGTTCTGAATGACAGAGGGTCATGCACCGCGGCCTCATAAACGGACTTCTCTCTTTTTTTTTTGGGGGGGGGGGGGGGGGGACCGGTGGTGTGCACACGCAGGGAAAGAGGCGGGGTTCGCCTGCAACTCCAAGGCTGGGACAACACGGAGCATGGAGGCAACTACATGGCTCAGATGCCAGGATTGCACATTTTGGCCGAGGGACGGCTTGCGATCCTTAGATGCATTCCTGGGCTGGAGCGTGCGTGAGGCACGCACGGGCACTGCGTACATCCATGAATGTGCCTCGACACTCCAAGGAGCTTTCGGAAATAGCAGGGTCGATCGTGGCCCGTTGTGCCCCGGCGGCACAGCGCAGAATTGGTCGTTTTCCGCGTCAACATGATTTGATGCCTTTGGTGTTTCTTCCCCGACATGTGAAACATGTCGGGCAGCTGCCCTTCTCCAGGCACATTCCAGTGCCAGTTATCTCAATTGAACCAATTGACATTGACCAGCCCGATGGGTATCGTTTTTTCATTTCTCCATTTCTCCGTGTGCTTCTCTTGCAGACTAGCTGTCAGGAAAATGCGACAAGGTTTCTGATGAAGCAGTTTCACACTGGCAGCATTGGAACCAACTCGGCCAAAAGCAAACAGACAAGCAGTCAGCTTGAAGCGCACGATAGGTTGCCCGACAGCGCCGTAAGATGTACCCAGGACAAGCAACTAAGTTCTTTCAAGTCTTGGCGTGTGGAGGCAGTTTGCATTTTTGTTTCCCGCGGCGCCGACCCCCACTGGGGTGTGTCCTTGAATTCAAGTCTTGCCGTTGGCCACTTCCAAAGAATCGGAAGTCGAAAGGTGAATCTCGCAGGCTAAACATTGTGAACACTGAGCCCCAGAGTGCACAGTGAGTGCACTGGAGGAGAGCAGGTCAGTAAAAGTGAGACAGCCTGATCTGCCACTTCGTGCATCCCACGCTCCCCAAAGCCCGAAGCAAAGTGCAGCAAAGAGCTCACAAGGGGCTTCCCCGAAGGGGCTCCCGAAGGGGCTTCCGAAGGGGCTTCCGCAGGGGTGCGCTGTCAACTTTTGTTTCTGTTAGCCCGCTCCTTGCCACTGTTGGCCTCCCCCGACCGAAGTCCGAAGCCTCCGGAAAAGGCAGTTGAGAACAGAACGCAGTTGCCAGCCTTTTGGACCTTTTGGAGCAGTCTAGTGCGGAAGGAGCTCTGAACGGTCGTGGGATTTGAAGACTACTTTGAACGTGTTTGAATCAGTTCAGTGGCCAGGAATGTTTAATGAAGTGATGTTTTCAAGGTGCTGCGGAAAGAGGGCACCTCCTCAGTGGTCTCAGTTTCTAGCATCTCGATACACGTGGGTTGGACACAGTGACACAGTGCAAGCCTTCGCTTCGTACGCTCTTGACCTTTGCTGTCTCCCGAACTCGGGAGCCTGGCACAGTCGCATTGGTTGCCTGTGCAAGCGAGGCCAGTAAGCATGCTGGACAAAAGAAGAAAATAGTGGATGTAGCAGCGGGTCGATGTGCAGTAGAGCTTTTTTTGCTACTTAGAAAAAAATCGGGAAAATGTACAAAGTGTTCCTTCGGGATACTGGCATTAAGCATGCCTCATTTGGGATCATATGTAGCGGCAGCGCAGTGGCCCACCACGGCTGGCGACTGAACGCTGACGTTGACACGTACAAGAAGACTCTGACAGGTTCTACACGTCTGAAATTATGCTGGCGATTGAGTACTTGCATAGGTGGGACTCCTGCTTGGCTTAGGAATGCAGATTGCGCATGGCGACCCGTTGGTGCAGGCTGAACATCATCTATCGCGACTTGAAGCCGGAGAACATCTTGCTAGATGCTGAAGGTGTCGGCCCGATGCATGTGTGTTTTATTGTTGCACTTTTGCCAGAGAAACCCTTACTTGCGCAACCTGAAGGTCACGTTAAACTTACAGACTTTGGCCTCAGCAAGGAAGGGATTGAGGAGCGTGTGTGGGAGAGCAGAACAAAACGGTTTGACATTTTGTGAAATCTGAGAACCTGGCAGTGCCACGTGCAGGACAATTTTTCAGCGAAATCCATGTGCGGTTGAAGCCTTGGCTTGGGTACATTGTGACCAATCATTGCAATCATTGCAATCATTGCAATCATTGCAATCATGGCGATCATTGCAATCATCGCGACCGTCGCGCTGATGCCAAGGTACTCCAGAGTACTTGGCACCAGAGATTCTAGACAAGCGGGGCCACGGCAAGGCTGTCGATTGGTGCGCCTGTCGATACCAAGCCCTCTTGCTTTTTTCACAAGATGTACGCAAGAGTTGCAGCCACATGAAGCTGCGACGGAGCTCCGGGAGCTGCGGAGGCTGAGCTGGCTGTGAGCTCCCAAAGTTCAAAGACCCAGCAAAGGAGCACAGGTGAAGCAGGGAGCAAGTGTGGACGCTGAAGTCAACAAAATTCTGCACCCCATGCCCTTGAGAATTCCCTGCTTCCAGAATCTTTTCCAAAGTATCAAGCACTCCTACGAGCCCCGCCAGGTACTCCTTGGGTGCACTTATGTACGAAATGCTCACCGGGTGGCAGACTTTGCAATTGAGGTTGAAGGCTGCATGCGCACATGAGTACACCTGTAGGGATTGAATTAGGCTGCCTCCGTTCTACACGCGAGACAGGGATAAGCTCTTTGAGGTGATCCGGCGAGATTGTTGCAAGGCTGAGGGAGGGAGAGCTTTAGAGCAAGAACGTCTGGGTAATAAAAGCATTTTCAGAATAACATGTTGAACTGAGAGAAGCAGAGCCGTGTGCATGCGTTAGCATGCATAAATGAATAGATCAACAAATATGGCCAGCGCATTCGGCGGGGCGACCTGACGTACCCATCGTACATCACGTCCACTGCCGGGATCCTTCAATGCTGTGTAAAGAAGCTAGGCTTTGAGTTCTGAATGCTGTTGCCTGGTAGCCATCCTTTATTGACGGTGTTGCTGAGCTCCCAGGCCAAAAACCTTCTGCAGCAGCTCCTCATGGGAGCACGGCACCTACACTTGAGGTTGCGTGTGGAAGTTCGACAAACTTAGCTCACGCGGTGGCTGGAGTTGCTCTTTTGGCCGGTGGGGTCCCTTCCGACCAGCCATTGGCCCAAAGATCGGCCAGATTTTTGCATCTGAGCCATCGTGGAGATTTTTCAGATCCCCGAAAAGCCTCTGCATGCCCTGCAGCTTGCAAGAAATAGCATAGCGCTGCAGCTGGCGAGACATGGAGCTTTGTCGCAGCATCCTCCGCGGCACAGGGTCGCATGCTACTCTTTCGCGGCTGCTCGTCGTCCCCGAGCGTCCTGGCCAACAACGCCAAGCCAAAAAGCTCAACTCTTCAATCTTGGCAAGCAACTGCTCCCGCTGCCCTTCAGGTCCCAGTTGCGGAGCGTGGAGCCTTCCAGGCTCTGCCGTGTGGTCTGGCTTCTGGGCAAGCAGGTCACGGTCAAGACTCCGGAACCCTTGGCGAAATCGACAGCTGCCAAAGCTGAGAACCCACGTGAAGCGCAGCGTGCCGACTCTCAGCAACCTGAATCTGGTGTACGGCATGATCCCGATCTAGGACCGGAGTCCCAAACCTTTCTAAGAATCCCGGTCAGTGTTTTGAGCTTGCAGGTCGGAAAGTGTTGCTACGACTTCGACCCTTACTGCTTCCTACCTCCAGCAAAGACGTGGGCAATATTGCCTGGGCCTACGCACGAGTGCACCTGGCGGACACGGACTTCGTGCCAGCAGCTCAGAAGAGCTCTGGATATGAAGGTGTGCCTGTACATGTCTTGATGAGTCTCTTAATGAGCTTGATGAGTCTTGATATGAAAGTTGAGCCTGTCGATCTTAAAAGTCTGAGGTGTATTTTGTTGAGGTGCTACCAGGACTTCCATCCTGGAGATAGCGCGGCTCAGGTGCACTTGGAATACCATGCTGCCTCGCGGAAGTCTGCCTCGCGAAGTCTGCTTCGCGAAGTCTGCTTCGAAGCTCCGTGCGAGAGCTGAGGTGGCATTGGCAAACCTTCTGTGGGCTGCGGCTGTTGCCGGCGTGCCTCCAAAAGTGTTGGGAGCTTCACTGATAGGAGCCACGGAGAAAGTGCTGGCCCAACTGCAGGGCGCAGAGCTGGCTCGCTGTTTGTGGGCGCTAGGCCCGAGCCTCCAATAGCCTCAGATTGAGAACACCGAAAGCTGCCAACACCCCCCTGTCTTGAAACAGTCGCTGTCGCTGCCCTGAAGGATCCATTCGACTGCGGCATTGTCTTTTCTCACGCGCTCACGAGGTCTCAGCAAAGGCGACGACGCAGGATTTGTCCAACGTGATTTGGGCTTTTGCACGAATCCAAAGCTCAATTCCCGGTGTACTCTTAAAGGAACTCGAGAGTCGAAGTCGTCGAAGCCCATTAAAGCTCAGCGAGCTGGTTGCTTCCACCTGGGCTCTGGCTGAGACAAGGCTTGCCTCCAGCGCCATCTGGCCGAGCGTTGCTGAGTCGCTGGAGCATTATCCAAGCAATCCGCGCGCATTAAGCTCCTTACTGCGGGCACATGCTGTGAGTATGGTCAGACCACCAGCAGCACTGTTGAAACTTGACTTTCGAGGTACGAGTCCACAGAGTCTCGCCAACTCACTTTGGGCGCTGGCCAAGTTGCAGCTTAACGAGCTTACTTTGACCCTGGACAACGTCGACGACGTACTGACATGGCTCAACAAGACACCGAGCGTGTTCAAACCTGAAGAGTTCAGCAGCTGCCTCTGGGCAATTGCGAGTATGGAAGACGAGGTTGCAGTGGTGGCCTTTTTCCAAAGACTGCAGGTTTCAAACTTCAAATGCCTTGAGGATCACCACTTATCGCAAGTAGCGTGGGCGTTTGCTTCCGCAGGCGTGAGGCGTCCGGATGTCATGACCTTACTAGCTTCAGAGATTCTGCGCCGCCAGGGCCTTGGTTTACAAGCCCTTGCGAACATTAGCTGGGCATATGCGACTCTTGGAATGTTCATGCACGATGACCACACTCTTGCGAAACACCTGCTGATGCTCGCAGAGAGACAGCTGCCCAAAGCCACGGCGCGGGATGTGGACTCCTTGCTGGGGCTCCTGTGGGCTCACCGTGATTTCACCACTGTGGGTCATACCAAAGAGTATTTGACGGCGATCACAGAGAGGCTACGCCAGCTGGGCAGGGACTTGGACGACTGTCAAGGCAAAAAAGGCAAGATGGGCAAAGCACAAAAGAGACAAATGAGGTCACAGAAGTCACAAATACTCCCTCAGGCTGAGGAGAGCACAGAGAGCACAGAGAGCATGCCTAGAATAGTGCTGCAGGTGCCAGGGGTGGTGGCCATTTTCAAGCCGCCTTTTTGGGAGGTAGATGAGGCAGGAGGCAGTACGCATGACAAAGCACTCTCCGGCTTCAGTCAGGGGCTTGGCCTTGGACTGGACGGTCTCGGTGGTCTCGATGGTGTCGATGGACTCGATGGATTTGGGCCTACACATGGTTTTGTTAGCCGGCTGGATGCTCCCTCGAGTGGCCTCCTACTGCAGGCCACGAGCTTCGAAGGGCTTTTCTCGCTTCAGGCGCAGCGCGAGCTGGGAGAGCTCGAGCGGGACTACGTGGCGCTTTGCCTGGGCTGGGTTCCAGGCGATGGCGACATCTCCTTTCGCTTGCGCAAGGTAGGCCGAACTTCAGTCGTATCAAACCATGGCCGACCTGCTTTGAGCAGGGTCAAGGTACTTGCACATTTGTCTCACAAGGGGCAGCAAGTATCCCTTGTTCTTGTACGAATCGAATCTGGGCGTATGCACCAGATCCGCGCACACCTGGCACACATGGGCTTCCCAGTCTGTGGAGACACCCGGTACAGCCGGCAAGAGCGGCAACAGTGGCAAGTGGAAGAAGGGCACGAAGGGCACGAAGGGTCCGAAGGGTCCGAAGGGTCCGAAGGGTGCAAGGGGCCAAAGTGGCCCAGTGGCCATTGCCTTCATCGTTACCGTCTGGCCTTTACCGACCTTACGGGGCAGCGCCACGAGGTGACAGAGCCCTTGCCACGGCGCCTGGCCTCGTTTCTGGAAGTGCTCCAAGAGCACCGTGGAGGGGAGAACATCAGGCCTTGGTTGTCGCATTCGCCCCTCCAGGGCTGGGAGGCTGTACACAGGAGCTGGGTGCCCTGCGTGCCGCTGAGAAAAGGAGACACGGAAGCCGAAGAAGCTGCGAAGCTTCAAAGCTTCAAAGCTGTCTAACTTCTAAAGTTTGCTCTCAATTTGCTTTGTGTTCCAAGGATCCTACCAAGAGACTCGGTGGTGGCTCCAAAGATGGTGAGGAGGTGCGGTCTCGACATGTAGCACCAATATGAAACCGGTAGCCGGTAGCTGGTAGTCTGCAAGTATCCGACATCCGCCTGAAGCATGCCGCAGGTGAAGCTTCACCCGTTCTTTTCGGGTCTTGACTGGAACGCCATCCAGCAGAGAAGAGCTGCATCCTCGGATGGGCATGCGGGATGATCACATTTGGTGTTTTTGCCATGCGTCAACCTTCGGCAAGGTAACGCCGCCATTCAAGCCCAACATTGCAGAGGCTCTGCTGGCATTGCCTGTGCCACATGTGCCACATGTGCCACATGAGATGTCTTGGGGTCTGAGCTGCACTCGGCAATTTGGGGCCATTGCCGAAAGGGTTGTCACAAGTCCGAAACGCGGCCACGGCAGTCGTTGGCAGTGCAGGGTGGCGACGTGAAGTATTTCGACAAAGAGTTTGTGGATCTTCCGGTTTGGACCTTGGTCGTCACTTGTAACGATCGCGAGTAATCACGAACA